CAATAATACTGCAAAATAAACCATTAACTTGATGCTGTTAGTGTTTAGGTTGCCAAACTCTTTGTGAGGCTGCCTTCTGATTCAGTATTTATGAATGTGCAATTAAAGATTTTCTTTCTAACATCATCATAATATAAGTAACCTCAGTTACCCTGCTGGGCATCAAGACAGAGGGCATTTTTTGAAGGCAGTCAACATATATTATCCTTAGGCGATGGTGAATGTAACTATCAGCTGAACATCATGCTTAGACTTGTGTGTGTGTGTGTGTGTGTGTAAATCAGATTTATTTGCCAAGTAGGTAGTACATAAATGAGTAAATGGCAAACTGTTACATGTTTCTTTCTAACCCTTGAGCTTTATCCTGGTGGTCTTTTGACTCTTCTCGCAATCATATTTTGTATCTTTTATAAAATGATAAGGAAAAGCACCAGATTTATTCTGTGGCCCATGCTGTGAGTCATTTAGTTCTAATATACTGTGTATGGTATTTCATTGATTGCATGGATGCTTCTATTATTATTTTTTAAACAATCAGTGCTCTTTTTGTATTAATGAATTTATTGAAATTGTAGGATTAATGGATGTTTCCATGGAGCTGAAAATTTAACTTGACTGTATCTTAGGCCATAAGCTTTATGGTTCACTTATCTCAGTCCTGGCAGAGTCTGGATTTTTTCCTCCAATCTGTGCTTGTTTTGTGCACCGTGCATTTATTTTCTTCTTGCATAGAACTTTCTTCATCGTTTCTCTTCAGTGTTTTTATGCTAGCATATGAAAATAATAGGCTTTATAAAATTGGACATGACATGTATCAGCAAATGGTAAAACCAGAAAGAGAAATGGAGTAAAGGAACAGCCCCGAAGGACCTGACATTTTTCTAAGAGGCATGTCATCATTTTTATTAAGTAATTTATAGAGATTGTTTGAGAAATACTGTAATTGGAGAGGGAATTATAGTGTAAAGATTATGCAAAGAAAATGAATGAAAGGGAAAGATACAGGGGGAAAAAGTTACAGAGGAAATTGGTGTCTCCCTTGAGGTCCAGAGAATCTATGTAAGTTGCAAATCATGGTTGCGTTTTCAACCTTTTGTTTTTTCACAGATGATGAGGCGTTCATTTAATCATTCCAGCTTTTGGAGTCATTCTGTTCAACATTCAAGGAACTGTCTTAAATATATTACCACCCTCCCCACCCCCCACACTTCTTCTGCCAAGTTTAACTAGTGTTTGAAGACAGAATTTGGACCTAAGTCATATAACATAAAAGGCTGGTGGAATGAATTTATGTTACACTTTGTCTGAGGATTAAGACCATGGTGTTTGTTCACAGTATTCTTGAGAATACTCAGAAACTAAAACAATGTTAGGAATCTTGGAGTTTCTTATTTAATCCTGAAACCAAATTAGAAATTTAGATTCTTAAAATTTCTTAAGAATTTGAATTCATAGATGTTTAGAATGTGGCTAAGATGAGCAAAGATTGCTAGGCAGACAGTAAAGAATATTCCTTGGACAGACTTTCATTTAGAATGCTGTTTACTAAAAACAAACTCACAAACAAAAATTTGTTAGACACTGTGAGCTGCTTTCAACTATACAAATATTTGTTATTTTCAATAATAGTTTCAAATAAAATATTGAGGGCCAGAATTACAAGCAATTACAATGTTTGACTTTTCTCCCTTGTTTCATGGTCAGTGTTGTATGGTCTGTAACTGACAAAATCTCACTGTTTGTGTTCATTAAGATACATTTACCGTTGAAGAAGAAATTACAGTGATTTTTGAGAATATTTAAAAAAGTATAAGGTAGAGCCTCCCTAGTGTGCTAGGAGTTAAGTCACAACACTGTGAGGCTATCCGCAGCCACTGCAGCACGAGCACAAATTCAATCCCTGGCCAGGGAGGTAATCCACATGGCGCAGCAGACCTCTCTTATCTTGCCCGCTGCTCTCCTCAGCAGTGTATTTCAGTCCATCTGCCTGTTCTGTTCCCCGCTCCATGTCTGGTGAATCCTCTCACCCCCCTCACATCTCTGGCCTGTACCCCAGTTCTTGTATGCATAAATAAATAAATCTTAACAAAAAGTACGGGTTGTACAAGTATGTGAAGAAAACATCCTTTGCCTTAACACATTTTATAAGGAAAGTGTGTGTATATGTAGAAACTATGGAAACATACTTAACTGAGCTTGAAATGGCTTTTCAGATTTCCATGGCAAATCTGATTTTTATGGTTTGAACATTTCTCTTTTTACTTTTTCTCATTTCACAAACTTTGCCAGTCCCCAAAGATTGGCTTGGAAACTCCCTGTACTAATAGGCAAAGCTGGCCTTTCCTGTGCTTCTCTTTAAGTAGCCCATTCTGAAACACTGACCTTTTAGTTTAATAACAGTTTTATTTGGAGAAAATGTTCAGATCCTGAGAGCTGAAAAGAGTGTTTTTAGAAAGGCCATTTTAAATAGTGGTTCCAAATGGTATTTCTTTTTCTCTTGTGTGTGTTGGACCAGGACTATCAGAAGAAATATGTTGTTGCTTTCTGTATTCTATTGATTTAAAAACAAATAGCCTGAAACTTAGATTTGCTCAAAACCCATTACTATACTGGTTTGTTTTCCTGCCTGGGCTTTGATTTGATATTTTAGATTTTAAACTCTTTATGCTAGGTCATGCTTTATCTTTTGTTAGTTTAAACTCTTCATGGTGGTGAAAGTAATTATCTTTTCATCTGTGACCTTGGACATGAGATGCAAAAGTCATAACTACTTTATCTTTTCTTTTCCAAAGATAGCATGGCTGGCTTGGTCCCTTTACTGACCAAAAATGATGCCAACCAGCCAGTTCCCTTAGACATGATTTCCTCAGTGGCCTTGGCAATTTTCAACCCTGCTCCCAACTTTTCTTCCTTCCCTTTTGGCCCCCCTAGATGGAATCCCTGAGTTACCCACAGCTCTTTTCCATCTCAACCCCAGGCAGGTGGCCTCCAGACTGGCAGGGCTGGGCTGTAGGGAAGGTATAGAGAAAGAGACTCACAAACCTTGAGGCTTTGTCCTTCTCTCCTCCCTCCTGCAGGGCTGCCATCTCCACCACGGAGCTGATCACCATTTGGTAAAGGCAGCCTACATCTCATGATGAAAAACAGCAACAATACTGCTGATTTTGGCTTTTCCCCCTGGTAGGAAGACCTGATTTTAGCTCATAAAACGCACTGTGAAGAGATAAGATTGTTCATTAGCTCACTTAGAAAACATCTCCTTGTCACATAGTGAAATCTGCCATCCCGAGTTCTTATCCAGGCCTTGTTTTAATGCACCTAACGAAATTCAGCTGAGACAGGATGGATTATTTGAATTGTGCCTGAGGAAAATTTCCTGTGATCAATTAGCAATCTGGGGAGGGCCCTATTCTTAGGTACTTTTAAAAACAGTTTGGGGCCTCCCCTGGTGGCGCAGCAGCACCGGTTCCATCTCCAGCCACCGGTTCCATCTCCAGCTGCCTGCAAGGGTCCCACATGGCGTGACAGATCTCTACTGCCATGCCCTCTGCTCCCCTCAGCAGTGCATCATCAGTCTGTCTGTTCTGTTTCCTGCTCTGGCTCTGGTGAATTCTCTCACCCTCCTGTGCTCCTGACTGTACCCAGTGCTTGTATAAATAAATAAATAAAAATTTTTTTTTTTTAAAGCTATATCTATTTATGCATACAGGAACTGGGACACAGGCCAGAAGTGTGGGGGGTGGTGAGAGGGTCTACCAGAGACAGTGGGGAACAGAACAGGCAGATTGACCGAAATATGCTGCTGAGGAGAGCAGCAGGTGAGTCGGGAGAGGTCTGCTGCGCCATGTGGGTAGTTCCCTGGCTGGGGATAGCTGCATAGGCTGTGTCTTAACCCCTTGTGCCACCAGGGAGGTGCCTCTTTTCACCTTCTTGATGATGTCCTTTGATGCTGTTGTTTTCTGATAGTTCACAGCTAACAAGAAGACATCCTTATGAGCTTTCATAGAGCTTTTTTGTTATTGCTCACTGTCAGGTAGATTTTAAAAAGGTTTTTGCATGTCCTGTCCTAATACATTTTCTACACATCCCCCGAGGTGTGGTGCTTATAATTTTGGGATCATCAAAAGTGTCCTGGCGGAGCACAGGCATTGCTGCCTCGGTTTTCATCTAATAGACTCCATCGTTTGCAACAATAGCCAGGTCCTGTGGGTTTCTGGACCCTCCCATGTGCTTGATCTTGATTTTGGGTAGTGAGTTTCTAGTGGCGAGGAAATAGTCTCTGGTTACTTCTCAAGCAGGTCTTTTAAAGAATTATGCCAAATTTATTTACTTGCTGCTACAGCTGTAAGACTCTACGAAACACGTAACATTTAAGCACTTCTCATTAGAAAGAGCAGATGTTTAAAATCAAGTCACTAGGTATTTGGAAAACCCCGGCCATATTCTCAGCACTGTTCTGTGGTTCTCTCCAATTGTTGGTCCTTGAATTTGAATGACATGTTTTCCAAGAAATATGGTTTCAAGATTTTCGTAAGTCATGAAAAAATGAATGTAAATACAAAATGATTTTCTGTAATATGTGATTTTTCAAAATGTTGACTTACCCAGGGGTAAGTGTTTTGGAATCATTTTCTTCTCTGACTTTCTTTCCTTACAGCAACCCCTGTCCTTATATGCATGTCAGGCTTTAATGGTAGAAGATCATTTTAAAAAATTTGTACTTAATGATTCACTCCCTATCGGGCAGTAAGCAATTCCCTGAGTTTATTATAAATTTTGGCAGGTAGAAATTTCAAGGTCACCAGGGAACTCTTGATTAAATTACTCCTGAAGCGCACTAATTGGTTTTTTCCACAGTGCTCAGGCAGCTCTGAGGAGACTGACCAGCTGGCAGGATTGGCCCCATCAGATCTAGTCTCAGTTTTGTTTTCTAAGTAGTTTCTTGCTTTTGTTTTCCAGAAGTCACTTATTTTGTCTCCTTTGTTCTTTACTGATTCTAGTTTCTAATGAAGAATTGAAAAGAAGAGTAGCTGAGGAGCTGGCCTTGGAGCAAGCCAAGAAAGACTCTGAAAACCAGAAAAGGTGAGTGTCCAGTGGTGGAGTGGGATTTGGGCAGACCTGTGATAATCACAGAGATTTTAGAGCAGAGTGATCATCATCACACTGGTCCTTTGTGTTTGGACTTGTGAGTGTGCTGAACATAGAAACTCAGCCATTTTCAACTCTGGATTGTGCTTGTTAAAGTCCTGCATTACCGTCTTCTCACATTTGATTGTGAATGACCCCGAGAGCTCTTCTGCAGTTCTTAGTTGCATGAGATCAGAGTTCTGTTTTCTCATTATGTGAGAACTAAGTTACTAAGGCGTCTCCAGGTATTTCTCAGGTAGTTTCTTTCCATGACTGAATTTATGATTGAAAGTTATGTTGTCTACTGTTGGTATTAAAAGTAACTATATTTTAGTTAACAATGAATTTCCTGCATTATTAACTGCCCATATTAACAATTGTGCTAATTGGTAATATAGTTAATTAGAAAAAATTAAGACATTCCAGAGATATTAAAACCCTCCATGATGCTGTTCTACAGTGATAACCCATTTTGAAAATTTGATTCCTTTAGATTTTTTTATATGTACTTTTATACTTTTGTTGTCATTTTTAAATACTGTGCCTACTAAGAATTGATAAAAGATTGATAATTGATAAAAGAATGTTCATTGAAGCATTTTTGTAAGAGTAGAAAACTGGAAGAAATCCGAACACCCAGCATGGAGAGCAAAGTAAGTGAATTAGGGTCGTGGGAGAATGGAATACTACACAGTCAAGTAGGTCCTTAATAGTCAAAAAGATGTGGGAGAGCTGTGAACTGGAAAAAAAAAAAAAAAAAAAAAGCAGTGTTCAAGACTGCATAGATAGTATTTTTTTTTTGGTGAGAAGCACTACTTTTTAAAGACTTATATCACATATTTATTCATAAGAATATGTGAAGCCATTTTAATCCAAGATAGTCACGTGCTTCCCATCTGTGCGAATTTTGATTTTCTCAGTCAGGGGCCTGTTCTTCTGTGATCCTGGGGATCCTTCTGGCTGTGAACAAGGAGCTCATGCCCGCCAGTAGCAGGCGCTGAGTATATGTTCTTGTTTTGGGCCTGTGTTACTATTTTGCTTGAAAGAGCTAAATGTAAATAATCTTTGAATTGGATTTGTGTCCTCACTAGCCATAGGACCGTCAACATATAATTTAACCTCTTTGAGCCTAATATTTCATCTCTAAAGTGAGGGGCTTGAAAAATGTTCTCTAATATTTCTTTTCTTTTGATGAATCGCAAAAAGCTAGCTCTGCTTTGCCGGAAACAGGACATGGGCTTTAGATTAAGAACATCATTTTCTCAGGAAATAGAGAAGGCTTGTGGCTTAGGGTTTTAAAAACCAAGATGTCATTGGTACTGCTAAAAGGGTCTGGATATCTCAACACTATCCCAGACAGCACTTTATAATTATTTATTTGGGTTAGGTCTTTGGCATTTATAATTGGATAGTGAAGTATATTCAAAAAATTTTCAGATTATTTTCATGAAGAAGCCAAGAAAATGAACATGTTATGGTAGAATTTCTTTTAAAGATTTTCTGGGGTTTGGTGCTTATATTTGCTTTCCTTATTATATTTCACATAGGATTTTGTGTGTGTGTGCTGTTCTCATAAGGTCGTTACAATAACTTTCACTGTGGTGGGTGTTTTACCCCCTTCATTATTCAACTTCCATTTGTTCTGCCTTGGTCTGTGAAAGGTAAAGGGCAGGTGAAATGAATAAAATGAGCCAATTTCGTAGCTCATCTGCACTGGGGTTGGCAGCCTTGCTGTATCCTGGACAAATGACTATTGATAAAGAATTTATTTTCTGTCACCTTTAAGGAGAGCGGAGGGTGGTACAGCTTTTTGTTTTTATTATATTTTCTTTTAAAATAATGTTTTGTTTGAAGCCTTCTTCATGAAAACTTGCAGCTGTCAAATCTTGGCAAAAAGTGTGTGTTCATCTGTATGATAGTTCCTGGAAGAATCAATAGCTATTTTCCCCTCTTTTTATCCTTTTCTCAGAGAAGAAATTTTAAAAACATTAAGAAAGTTTTATGTGCACTCTTGTGCAAGAAACTTTCGGGAGTGACAAAGGAATTATAGGTTATTGTGTCTGTTACCTTAATTGAAAAGTAAAGCCTTGTAAACAGTTTATTCAAAAATTTTTTTTGAGGTAACATTAGTTTTCAATCCTGTATGTGATTTAGAGATACAGGGTCACACCTTTCAGTTGCCCAGAGTCCTCCACTGCAATTTGTAAGCAGTTCTAGAAAGTGGTCCTTGTGCCTTTGAACTGTCGCTTGTACTGTCGCTTATAACATGCCTTGCTTACCAAGTCTTCTCTCTCACCCCAAATGCACACATAACTGTAGGCCACTTCGGAAGCACTGACGATCAGGACTCAGAGGCACACATTAATGCAGGGAATCCAGATGGCGCTAGGAGGACTCGGGAAATGATTTTGCTGGCGATGTTTTCTTTACAGAATATTTATTATCATTGATTAGTTTTTATATGATGGACATTTTAAAATACATTCAAAAATAGAGACTAATGAATCTCCATGACCCAACACAGGTTTCTACAGTTCTTGTTTCAGCTCTACCTCTTAATTATTCCTACGTAGTAAGTGGGAAAGACACAACCTTTTTCATTGGCTGGTGAAGTTTGTGGCAGGAAAATATCCTGAAATGTCTTCTCTCAGGCCAGCATAAATAAGGACCTTATTTCATTTAAGTTTTTTTTTTCTTGGTGAATGAACCAAAATGTCACTCTGACTAAATTTACCAAGCAAGAAATATTTAGAAGTGTTTTTGGATAACCCAAAGATCTCTAAAGGTGTTTAGAGAACCATCAGCTGGGGAAGAACTGGATACTACTGAAACTGTACACAGTGGGAAGAAGTAACTCCTTGAAAGAAACCAGGATGAGTTTCCATAGCAAAGGGGAAAAGATTGTGGATGACTGAATTTCATGGAATCGAAGCTGCCACTTATTTTAAGAAGGCTTGTATTCATTGTACCACTAAGAAAAAAAATTGCTGCAAATCATTACACAGTAGTTTACATCTTAGGATTTTCTTATTGAAAGAGTTCATTTAAACTTACTTTGAGTTTGTAAAGACGTATCACTCATGTATTCATAAAAAAAGAAAATGGTAGCAACAGGAACACTTTAAGGCAGTGTTTTTCAAGTGGGAGAAATTCTGGTCCCCAGGGAACGGATATCTTAACAATGTCTGGGGACATTTTGGCTGTAACAACTTGGCAGGTGTTATTGGCATCTAGTGGGTGAGGTCAGGACACAGTGATGCACAGTATTGCCTCTCTGGCCCCATCACCCTCCTCTTGGCCTAATGTAGAATTATCTGGCCCAAAATGTCAGTAGGGCCAATGGTGGGAATTCCAGGGCTAAGGTATTCTTAAAACCTGTTCATATTTGGTCTAATTCTTCTGATTTGTTTTTTGACTCTGTATCTTGATGTCCTTGTTTTTCCACATAATATATTCTGTGCCATCAAAACAGCACTCCTTGAAAGATTGCTCCACTGTTGTTCCTGGGATTTTTCCAGGCTGCTGACACCAGTTTTGCAAATTTCAATGCTTAAGTGCAAGCTATGGCAACTGTGCAGGACTCCTGCCTGCCAGACAGCAATTGTAAGATACTTTCAGACATACGAATGCATGGAAATATATGGCCCTGGACTTAAATTTCATCGATCCAGTCCCTGTGTACTGTAGGCCATAACATCTATTGTACTGGAAATGGCTTCTTAAGTGTCTGCCTACTCCCACCTAATCTAGGAGCCTTTTTGCATTATTTCTGACTGGTGGTCCCTTACACATTTAAATCCCATTCAAAAATCACTTAAACTGAAGCTATTTCATGGGGCCATTTAAAATTGACCCAGACTTTAAATCTCTACTCCCTTAATCTAACTGGCAGATGTGGCATAATTAAAAGTTGCTTTAGCAGATGAAGGTTTCACTTAGCCACAGCAATGGTGCATCTGATTGTAAGCATGATGCCAGTCTGTGTGGTTTTCTCATTTCTGAAAAACATCTACACATGGAATCTCAATTCAATTTTCTTAGATCTGATTTTATTTAGTGAGAATCTTGAGTGACTTACTGAGTTAGTAATATCATTCCCCTCAAATCACTGACAGAATAGTCTAAAATTGTTGGTTTAATTGTTGGAATCAGGTTTACTGATCAAAATTTCTGAAGGTTGGAATAGTTTGTGTACTGGGTATCCAGAATAAATGAAATGTCCATTTCAGCAGTTCCTTTTTGACATGGTGCTCTATTATGTGTTTTGGATTCCAGCTGATCATATATTGTGTTGTAACCAGAGTGGCCAATATAGCGAGGATATAATATCCTACAGTGTGGGTTTAGACTTGAAAAAAATGATTTACTTCTCTCCTATGCCCTCCCTCCAAAGTCAGTCTCTGACAGCAAGAAAAATGCCACTACTTCTGACCTCTCACCTTTGGCATTTGAATTTCACCTCTTTACCTATAAAGGCGAGTGAAAGTGTTTCAGTTTTAATAACCTTTCTTCAGGAAACCAAGTAGAAAGGGAATAGCTACTTGATGTTGTAACTAGCTGTATATCAACCAAGATTACTGTCGCTTGCTGATTTTAGATGGACATCAGTTGAGATTCCCCCCCACCCCCCACTTTTAATTACTTGGAAAATGACATTAGATTTGTGAAACTTAAAAGAATTAATTTGGTTTCATGAATTAGTCGTACATTTTATCAGCTCTCTGGGTACGTTAGAATATAATGCTGGCCATTTATTTTTCTATTTATAGTATCAAATAAGGGCTTCATTAGTTGTACCTTTTAGTTTCTCAAAGTGAAGGAAAAGTTCATAGGGATGCTACTTTCTGTTTCAGTTTACTATATATAGTAATTCACTTCAATTTTATTAGATATTTTCTACCTTTAGAGGAAAAAGCTGAAAAAGGAAAGAGGAAAAAATCGACAAACAGGCATTT